CTTTATCATTCTTCGTTAAAATTAACAGAAATGCATAATTTCATATTTTTGGGCTCAGTTTGCATAATTTCAGAATTTTTCTTGCAAAAACGACGGGGACAGTCCAAAGTGGCGGGCCTCGTTGTGCGAGTCGTGGAACTACTTCATCTTTGACACGTCATCTCCAGTCTTCACCTTTCCTTCCTCCCCATTTCCTTCCTACGTGTCCTGATGTCATCCATACTCTCATACTCTATGTATGTCTTTCTCCAGAGACCAAACCATTAACTTTTACCCTTACTTTCTTCTTACTTTCTTTTCCTTTTTTCAGACACGACGAATAGATACATAACAACAGAGACAAGAGAGAGAGAGAGAGAGAGAGAGAGAGAGAGAGAGAAAGAGAGAGAGAGAGACCGAGACCCAGACCATTTACGGGGACTCTCCTAAAAAACTGGTACTTAATATTTCGAACAGCTATCAAGGCCGGAAGTGACGTGCGTGGCTACTTCGTGTGGTCACTCCTGGACGGCTTCGACTGGTCACTGGGCTACACCAGCAAGAGCGGCCTGTACTACGTGGACATGGGCCGGGGAGAGAGGCCTCGCTTCCCGCGCTCCTCCGCCACTTTCTACAAGAAGATGATCGCAAATAACGGACTCACTGACGAGCTCGTCACCTATAGGGCTTGTGAGTATTGTTGTTTACGTGCAAATAGTGATCACATACCCTTTCCCCCGCATACCTTTGCTCCTCCAGTCCAACAAATTTACAACCTTCACCTCCTTTTTTGCGACCTCGAACGACTCCTTACTTTCTAAATGAATCAAAGTCAGCCTCTAGTAATCCCGTGGCCACGACTCGTACTTTTAACCTAAGCCAAGTCTCGGTTATACATCAACAACTCCGCAAAGAAAGAGTCATCGAGCATTCGTGCCAATCTTCCGTGACGATATCTTCGTCAATTTACTATGTATCATACGAAAAACACACTTCCTATAAGAAGATGATCGCAGATTCACTGACGAGCTTACAGGGCTTGTGAGTTTGGCTGTTAGTACGTATACAGCCTCCCCCTCCCACCCCCATTCCAATGAAAATTTATAATGTATCACGCGAACAACACACTTTCTACATGATGATGATCACAAATAACAGACTCACTCACGGACAGGTCAGGTCACCTACAGGGCTTGTAAATTAATATTTGGTTGTTAATACGTAAACAATGACACCTCCCTCCTCCCTCTCCCAAATCCAACAATAATTGGTCGCTTTTAAGGACAAACGGGCTAACCCAGATTTCGGGGGTTTCCAGAAACCTTGACCTACACCAAAAGTGGGCATAAACCTACCTGTAGGAGAAGTTTGGTTTCATTGGTGTGTATATTTGTTTGGTTATAGATAAAACACTCCTTGTCTTTTAAAGAAACTGAAAAAGGGGCAAAAACTTTACCTTCAATTTTCTCAAAATAGCATTTTTCGGGATAGCCCCCTTGTGCTTAAAAGCGACCAATTATAGCGTATCACACGAAAAACACACTTGCAATAAGAAAATGATCGCAAGTTTTAAACTCTCTGACGAGCTCGTCATCATCAGGGCTTGTGCGTG